AAGTACTGATTCTTAGGATTACAAGAACCAATTTGCATGACCATACACTTATGACTTATCTACATTAAAATTTAAACACCAACGAGACTCCCAAAGTTCTAGCAACTTCAAATCAGCTGTTGGATTAATAAAAGGATTAACAATCATTTTAACATCATCAGCAAAAAGTTTGATGATAGCTTTGATCCCTTCTGGAAGATCATTTACAAATAAAAGAAAGAGCAATGGTCCCAAAACACTGCCTTGGGGCACTCCTGAAAGTATATACTTAATCTCAGAAAATGCATCTCCTACTTTAACTTTCATATCCTTTTAAAAACTTCCCAGTGGAATAAAGATTTATAAAACGCTTCTTTGCCACATAAGGATGGAACCAAAGATAATTGTTATGTTTCTCTTTATTACTGACATAACTGGCTCCCTCAATTCTTACTAAAACTTCATTAGAAACATTCCAAAAAAAGCAATCATTTGTAATACTTTTAGAAATCATATCTATCTTATATCCTTCTAATTTAATTTTAAAACCTAAAACTGTCACAGAGTTCTTGACGTCCGGAGGGAGTTTGTTCCAATATAGAATAACTCGCTCCGGGAGAAAAGACTTCTGGATATTCTTGACCTTTGTCACACTTTTACTACATCTATTGGATGAAACCAGATTAAGACCCGATCTGCTTGGTCTGAACAAGTCTGAACCATAATCAGTCATAGCATTAATAACCTTAAAAGCTTCAATAAGGTCCCCACAGCGCTACCACTTTCAGATAAAAAGTGGTAGCGCTGTTAAAATATCAGAACTAGATATAAATTTAGAGCTAGGCTACTTCTACTATTTAAAGGGTTTTTATGTTTTATAAAATTTACTTGGGCACGTTCTCAGAAGCTGTGATGACACTCCCGCCTTCTTATCTTTCAGATTTGCATGTTTAGGATGTTTTGACTACAAAGGAAGGAGGGGCAGACCTCGTTCAAATTTATTTGATTTATTATTAAAAGACATTATGACAAAGAAAATTATTGTGATTGTAAATAAAAGATTTAGTTTAAGTAATTTCAACGATTTAGTGTACAAAGCTCATGATAGACGTTTATGGAGAAGCTATGGGTGAGTCGAGACTACTCGGCCACTCGATTTTATGATTTAATTTCTATTATCTTGTGTTTGCTGTATATAGTTGATTAATAATAATAATAAAATTTAGTAAGATTTTTTTATTGAATTTCATATTGAATTTTTATATTGATTGAAATAAATTTTCGTGCACATACAGAATGAATGGTTAATAATTTAATATATATGTAGACCAAGGTCTGTGCACGGGATGCTTCCTGGAAGAATCCAGTTCTTTTAGCGGGGCACCCTACCTAAAGCCAATATAGGGTCAGTGCTATATTATGTGTATATTTTTTGAATTTTTCTCTTTTGTTCAATTACAAAACATTTCTAGCTTGTTTATTTGGTATTGTAACTATATTCCCAAGTTATTTAACGTGATTTCCGGGATGAATAGCTGACTTAAATGCGTGGCACTAACCTTGAACACCAAAATCAACATGCATGGGGTTGTTCACATGTCATACAAAAGTTACTTTTGCTGTTTGTCACCAAAAAGAGGTATACAACGAATATGAAGACAAACTGTTTTTTTAGCACGGCTGCAAGAAAACAACAAATTTTTTCAAGAAAACAACAAATTTTTATTTAAATCAATTATAGCAACAATTTGAAAAACTTTAAAGCTCTTCTATTACCATGGAATATACTACGGGTATGGTGACTTGGGCTATTGAGTTGTTAAGTAGATTAAGTTTAGTAAACTTGCACTTGCATTGTATATTTTATAAAAACTAGAAATTAGGCTTCACGGTAAAATGGAGAAGCAGGCTGATCTTGGAGAGAGCAGACCGTAAAGTTTACGCACCCACCAGGGCTACCTACCTACCCCAGTTGTTCTTTTTGGTTTATCAGCTTGTATTGTTATATTTATGGACCCCAAGTCACCACACTAAGAAGGAGTATGTAAAAAAAATAATAATAATAATAATAAATTAAGTTAATATCATCATATCTGTTTAAAACAGTAAAAGTCAAGTTGAGGATTGACTTTCCTAGTTAATTTAAAGGTTCAAACGTTTGGGAATATAATAATGTTGGTATTTGTATCTGCTGCAGCAATAATATTGAAATATCATTTGTCTAGAAAATTTTCGCCACTTCAATAGATATTGGGTCGGCAATTTGGTGAGTGAGTGATGAGATGGTTTGGTCTGTGATTGAGTGAGGGGCGATGTGAAAGTTGTGGTAAGTCCAGGTGTTATTATTGTTGATGGATTGAGATCCCAGGATGATACTTTTACAGCGTAATTTAACCAAAGATACAGAAGTAGTGAGGATTTCCCCATTCTCATTTAGAATCCGTTTATGTATGCTATTCCACAATTTGGAGGCTATATAAAGAAAAGTGTTGGTTTTTCTTGGGAGGATTATGACATTGCTTGTATCACGTTTTGATGAGTCTATAGTACAATACAACGAGTATGGAGTGCGAAATTTCATAATTCGAAATATCTCAGAGTTAACTCATAGTAAGGTTATCGCTGTTACAAACATATGGGCATTTTTTTTGTGACTTACATTACCGAGATAGCAAATTTTTACCTTTGAGGAGTCATGACTCGGTAACCATGCATGATGAGATGATATTTTGGTATTTATTTCCGTATCCGGAATCTCTTCAGAACAATGCAGGTATAATTTAGTCTGTGTCGTAAGGTAATTTTACACAATCACCTGCCAAAAAAGTGTGACTTACATTACAGGATAGACTTTGATTTTCGGACTTAGGTGTATACAAACTGCAATTCTATCTCGAATATGTCAGATAGCAGCTTTCATCTAAAATTTCTGCAAATTTGAGGCCTTAAGCTGCTAAAAAATGTTAAGTTTAAGATTCGTTCATTCGTTTATTACGTACATCACCCTCATACATTTGTGACTTACATTACAGACATTTGTGACTTACATTACTTTATCTCCTGAAACCAAGATAAAAATTCATTTTCGTGTGATATTAACTGGGAATACAAAATTTTTTTGATTCTACATGCTCATTTGGTAATAACATAACACATAAATGTAATAATCCCCAATAACTTGAAATCATATTTTAATAATATTGACGAAATACATTATTGCCTTTAACTCAAAAAATAAAGGTTCTAGGCATATAGTTGATTGATAGGTTGAATATAAACTTGGCTATTCCGGTTCTTTTAAGCTATAACACAGTTCTCTAAGTGGTATGGTTCTCCAGATATGAATTTAATTGAACAGTAAACGCGACCGCGACAGAGTGGTTACCATGGAAACAAAAAATACCACGATATAAGGTTGGAGTTGAACTCTAAATTTTTTTTTCCAAACTCACAATGACCTAATGCAACTTTTTTGAAGGTGCATCAATTATTGGACCATGTTTGTGTTTTTTTGATACAGCCTAATTGACAATCTTAGACAGCAACACAACACAGCAAAGACAGTTCACTAATAGGAAGTTTTTCTAACTTCCTAGTTCGCGTTCTTTTACAGGTGAATTTGTATGAAACAAAACAGTCGAACTACATTAAGTCTGAACTGTATTGTTGCTCAGCAGGGATTTTAAGGTGTCGTTTTGGTATGTGTGACATACATTACATTGTGACTTACATTACACTGTGACTTACATTACTACTTTATACACTTAATTACAGGCACATTTAACCCACTAGCAATCATGCAGTAATTGATCTATCGTCCTTGAAGGTAGTAGAGATAGGTCTGAGAATTCGATTGTGGCTAGATTCGATTATTTGTCGGGAAAAAAACTTTTGTGGCAATATTGTGACTTACATTACATACTTTTGAAGGTAGATTTTTTTCTACGAAGTAATACTTGTCACAAGTTTATCACTTGATTAATACTTATACACTAAAAGTACAAACCAAATTGCGGTAAATTTAAATCGATAGTATTATTCCTACTTGTCGAAGTAAGACTTGAGAAAAAGATAAATAATTGGAGCAAAATTTACAGCAGACTTCAGCTGCACTTTTCATGAACTAAAATTTGCATTTAACGGTAAACCCTTATCGAGTCTGGCATTTGAGACCTTTTTAAACAACAAACAATCATTTTTTGATGCTTTCTATTGATTTAAAATTTTCACCAAAGTGGAAGTTTTAGAAAAAAATGCCCATATATGGATTTCGAATCCACCCTATATATCACCCTTGTGACACCTTCAAAAGTTAGATTTAGGGCATACAACACATACTTTATTCGCTGCAATGTACGTACAGTTAGTTTGACACAGTTAGAATATGGTTAGTTCCAAATAATGGTTAGTTTAATGATTTATACCTCATGAGTCATTGAATTTAGTGCTGGTATATTCGGCCAATTCTTCAGTGTTTGATATCCCATGAAATAATTTAATTAAAGTTTTCGTTGGCAACTTCCTCATTATTTAGCCCAGTAACTCAAATCAAAACATAATGATACATAAGATCATCAAAAATGTTCATAAAAATATCTTTTAATTTCATAAATCAGATATTTCAAACTAGGAGGACAAACCATTGTAAAACAATTGTGTATTGTAGGGTTAATTTATATTAAGACCATCAAATATGCTGACATTACTAGTATTGATTGTTTTTTTGCAATTAAATGACTGTTTGCTATCATAAATATGACCCGATTGAATGAAAATCGATTTACTATATCCCTCAGAATAATCAGCCCTTAAAATTCTCTCAGAATTTTCCAAACGATTCTTCATTCCCAAATGATTGCTGTTCGCTGTTTGCATTGATTATTATATATTAAAACAAAGACTTGAGTCGAAGAAAATCAACATTGCAATGCAATGCACAAGTTTCTGGCTTGGGTTATTTTCAGCACATCCTGTAGATCCAAGCTTGTTTGAAATTGTGTTTTTTGTTATTTGTTAATAATAAAGCTTGTTTCAGAGAGTTTGATGTAAGTCGTAAGACAATGGCTGATAAGCGCAAACTTCTTGGTGACATTGATAGATGTCACAAAAAGGTTGCTGAAGGTGTTGAATCTTTCAAGGAGACTTGGAAAAAGCTTCAGCAAGCATGTAATCCCAATCAGAAGGAAAAATATGAACAAGATCTCAAGAAGGAAATAAAGAAGTTGCAAAGGCTACGAGATCAGATAAAAACCTGGTGTGCATCAAATGAGGTTAAGGATAAAAGGCCGCTTTTAGAAGACAGAAAACTTATAGAAACTCAGATGGAAACGTTCAAAATTGTTGAAAGAGACTCCAAAACTAAGGCATACTCTAAAGAGGCATTAGGATTACCTGCAAAGATAGATCCTGCTGAAAAAGAAAAGTATGAGTTACGGGAGTGGTTGAATAAGACAATTGAATCTTTAAACATTGAAACAGACAAACTGGAGGCAGATGTTGAAACCATTCATGCTCATAATAGGAAAGGTAAAAGTAAAGATAAGCAACAGGAAAAGCTGGATGAACTTCAGGAATTTATCGCTAAGCACAGGTGGCATATTGTCCGTCTTGAAGCATTGCTTCGAATGTTGGATAACGACAATATTGAGGTGGATGATGTGAAAGGGATCCAGGAAGATGTTGACTTCTATCTGACAGATTATAAAGAACCTGATTACGTTGACAATGAATACCTGTACACAGATATTGTTGACCCAGACATCTTGAACAGTTCATTACTAACAGACAATAGGTTAACATCAAATCACTCTGATGATGAGCTTGACGAGGATGAAGAGAGTAACATGGATGATAGTTTTTCTCAAGTTTCCCACGAGTCTTCACAACACAACAACGATTTCAGTGAGATACCACCCACCAGTCCCACCACCAAGGCTGCTATTAAAGCAAAGACTATTGTTCCTCCAGCTCCACCAGCAGCTGCAGTAGCTGCACCAAGATCACGCCACCCAACACCTAACTCCAGTACCCCAAGTGTTACCACCCCTCCTGCAAGTATAGCACCCCAACCAGTTCTGGTCAAACCTCCTCAACCCAAAACCCCACCAAACAATTTAATTTCACCACCAGTTTTCTCTTCAGCTCCTCCAAGTTCGACGACAAGTTCACTGTACACAAACCATCATGTACCGAGCACTGAATCTGTTAGATCACCACCATCAGTCCCAACACCTGCCCCCTCCAGCACCCCTTCAGAAAACATTCAGAGTACAGAAGAAGATTTAAACCAAGAAGCATTTGTGTTGGATCCTATTTTGGGTGTCAGTCCTCTGGGACCTCTTCCCCTGACAACAGAAAGAGCCATGCAAATGGAAATGTTAGAAGCAGCTGCTGGCAATCTCCCCCAGCCTAACGACTCTAATAGAGTGAGATCGTTAAACCTGATAAATTCATTCCCAAATTTCCCAGCTCAGATCCCTCCTCATCACTACCATAGCTATGACCCAAAACACAACTTCGACTCCTTCGAGTACTTCAAAAATTTGGTTCCTGACACCCTGTTTTTCATATTTTACTTCTACGAGGGCACGAGAGCTCAGTACTACGCTGCCAAGGCTCTGAAAGAGCAGCACTGGAGGTTCCACAAAAAGATCAAAATGTGGTTTCAGAGGTATGAAGAGCCTAAAGAGATTGTAGAGTCTCACGAGACTGGGACATACGTGTATTTCGACATCGATCTCTGGCAGCAGAGAACAAAAGAAGACTTCAAATTTGAGTACAAATGGTTGGAAGAGAACAACCTGGACGAATGAACCAAATTGTAAACAATTTTGTACTTTTCCTGTAATCTAAGATTGGTGGTGATTTAATTTTAATAAACTGACATGAGCTGCGCTTGCTTTGGTGAAATGAGAGTTAATATATTATTTTCCCAAGTGTTTGAAATTTATATTCATCCGTTTGTTGAAGACGATTCTCTGTGAGAATAGTCTGCTGGAAATATATAATTTTATTTTTAGACTTTCGGTATTATTTGATGTTGATTTAAGTTAAAATTGTTTATGTGAGCTTCATCACAACCAGTTTTACATATGAAATAACATACCTTGAGTTATTTGATTTTTAATGCTTTTACGCTTCAATTATTGATTGATATTGATCTCTAATGAAACTAATTTTAATAAGTTGCACAGCATATATATAATATAGACTTTCCGTGACTTCCTCGTTAAATATGAATTGTAGCAATTATACTCATCTAGTTACCATAGTTACACTACTAGTTACTCATCTCCCATCGTAACATCTTAGAAAAGGCTACTCTCAACACGATGGTTAAAGAAACGAAACTCTACGATCTATTGGGAGTCACTCCTCAGTCTACTCAAGCAGAAATCAAGAAGTCTTACAGAAAGTTAGCTTTGAAATACCACCCTGACAAGAACCCTGGATCTGAAGACAAGGTAATATTATAATAATAATAATGTATTATACACTCTGTGTTGCCAGATCTTGTGTGTCCCATCTAGTCTCTTGCCCTGCAAGCCCTGTTTCTTGTTTATACAACAAATTATAATTGTGTAATAAACATTTTTTGTAGTGTAGGATTGATAGAATTTCTATTTGCTAATTCATATAATATACACTCTGTGAATGTTTCTCCGATTTTTCTTCCCTTACATTGCAAGCCCTGTCTCTTGTAAAAACAACCACTTTTGTAGATACACACAGTCTCTACGTCTTTATCCTTTGGTCCCTAGGGTCAGCTGACTCCGGGCCAGAGGAAATTTACCGATTGCCAAGGTTTGATGCCTAGGCAGTCGAGACCTCTTATTGAGACCCGATATAATAATAATAAATTGAATTTTAAGAACACCACTATTAAGATAAACTTATACTCAGCAGTGTTTAATCTAGTCATCCCAGAAACTATCATGATAAAACTTAGGACTGCTATCATATACAGTATACTTGAAAATATATCGTTCATATATGAGTGAAGCTTAAAATTAAAGAACTTACACTAAATATGGGCCGAAATCAGTCATTGATAAAGTTTTTTAAGTTCATGCTTAGACAATTTGAATAAGAAAGTTTTTAGAAATGCTTTAAAGGATTCCAGGGATTCAGCTGATGTGATGGTAGTAGGCAGACGGTTGTAGATCTTTGTAGCCACCACCGAGAAGCTTTACTCACCAAACTTAGAGTTGAACGATGGAACCATAAGTTTCAATGTGTGACCATGATGAGTGTACCGAAACATGTCTTGAATATAAGTTGGAGCGAGCCCTATTAATGACTTGTGAGACAGCAGTAATATTTTGAACACAATCCTTTTCTTTACATCCAGCCAGTAAAGATTAGTCAGGTCGTCTTCCAGGTGTTTAATGTTTATGCTTATATTTACCAGGGTAAATATATATATAGGGTAGAAATTAAAAACATGTACATAATACATAATACATAATACATTGTACATAATACATTGTACATAATACATTGTACATAATACATTGTACATAATACATTGTATATAATACATTGTACATAATACATTGTACAAAGTATATGTTGTATTAACTGAATTTTAAACTTAATGAAAATTGTAATTTTCGATCAGCTCCAGTTAAATACAATTTTAATCTTGTTTTTGGTAATTTAACGCTCTGTATAATGACTGTAATTATTGTATAATTACTTTAATATAGTCTATAATACGAGTAAGCGATATTTTTGGCTTTCTCCATTAAAAGGTAAATTCATCATAACAGATGATTTCACTTACTCACACAGGAATAAACTTTCAGTTCAAAGAATTATCGTACGCGTTCGAAGTGTTATCAGATGAAACAAAGAAGAGGATATATGACCAAGGAGGCATGGAAGCCCTCAAAGAAGGTTTCAGTAACTTCTCTTTATTTGTATCTTTATTTAACATTAATGTTAGGGCTAACCTAATAAACTGCAGTACGATGTAACTAGTAGTGTAACTATGGTAAGTAGTGTAATTATGGTTACTAGTAGTGTAACTATGGTAACTAGTTATAGTAGTGTAACTATGGTAACTAGTAGTGTAACTATGGTAACTAGAAGTGTAACTATGGTAACTCTATAATCCGCAGTACAAAAGCATAACTTTAAAAATACTGAAACTGGTTTTTGTTAACCAGTTAAACCTGTTAACAGGAGGTGGAGGAGGCCACTAATTACCAGCTAATTACCAGCTAATTACCAGCTAATTACCAGCTAATTACCAGCTAATTATAAATTACCAGTTAAACCTGTTAACAGGAGGTGGAGGAGGCGGTGGACACAATCCCATGGACATATTCGACATGTTCTTTGGTGGAGGCATGCGGGGACACAGAGGACACGAGGGCCCCCGACGAGGCAGAGACATGGTCCATCCTTTGAAGGTACTAGTTGTCATGGTACTAGTTGTCATGGTACTAGTTGTCATGGTACTAGTTGTCATGGTACTAGTTGTCATGGTACTAGTTGTCATGGTACTAGTTGTCATGGTACTAGTTGTCATGGTACTAGTTGTCATGGTACTAGTTGTCATGATCTCATCCGTCTAATCTAATTATTTACGGGTCAAATATCAGTAGCAGTATGTAATAATTACCAGTATGATCTCATTACACTATTTTAAAACTTTTACACATTTCTCTCGATTTTCTTGTCCGATTTTTATTGAAACTTTTATTTAATAGTACTGATTTGACAAAAGTTATTTAAGATTTATTCCCGGATTTTACAGGTTTCACTTGAAGAACTTTATAACGGAGCCACCCGACAACTGGCTCTTAACAAGAATGTCATATGCAGCAAATGTAACGGAAAAGGTACATCATTCTTATCATTCTTATCATTCTTATCATTCTTATCACTCTTATCATTCTTATCATTCTTATCATTCTTATCATTCTTATCATTCTTATCATTCTTATCATTCTTATCATTCTTATCATTCTTATCATTCTTATCATAGTTTTTAAAAATTTTAAATGCAATACCAATGTAATTTTATAAGTGTGAATTACCTGTTTGAAGCCTAAGTGAAGTTGAAGAAGAAAGTTTTTTAAAAAATATACCGAGGACTGACAGATTACTGTAGACAGATATATCGTAAAAATAGATAAGTCTATAATAAGTATTTACCTGTATGTAACTATCTACACACACACACACAGACACAAACACACACACACACACACTAGCATTTAACACGCAGGAGGTAAAGACGGCGCAGTCCAGACATGTAATGGTTGTCATGGTAACGGTGTGAAGGTTATTGTACGACAACTTCAGCCTGGTATGATACAGCAAATGCAGACAGTGTGTCCTGATTGTCATGGAAAAGGAGATATTATTCGTGAAAAGGTTTGTTTTTCTTTCTCTCTTGTTCCATTTACTTTTCACTTTATTTTGTATACAAATTTCAAGGACCCATACACCTAAACAGGGTTTAGCCCAAAAAACCTCTCAGTTCAGTTATTTTCACACATAACATCTATTTCTGTAATGGAAAATATTGATTATTTGTTTGATAATAACTCGGCTACACGTGGTGTTCTACAATGTAGAATACGTACGTACGTACGTACGTACGTTTTTACGTTTTGGTACGTTTTGGTGAGTTTGGCAGGGCGTGCTCAGGACAACTGCATCGAGTGCGTCCTCCTCCAGCTCAGCATTGAGTTATCGTTTGTCGGAGTGTAGCCCGGAACTGGTGGCGTGTCTGGGTACTGTTCCATGAATCTGCCTAGACCAACTTTGAAACTGTCTAGCAATGTGATACTCCGGAGCTCCGATGGGAGCACGTTGAAGAGCTGAGCTGCTCTAACTTTAAAGCTGTTGTCGTAATCTGTCCTTACCGACAACTGTGCGCTTTTGTTCATGGCTGGGATCTCTGCCTTAATACCATGCCTTTGAAGGGACTTGAACTCGAAGCCCGTATCGTTCGGAGCATGTTCATTAAGAATTTTCCATACATGAATAATAGAATAACGCTCTCTCCGCCTCTGAATACCACGTGGACAAATTGCAGCTTGATGTCTACAATCTACATGTGTTTAAATTGTAAAACTTCAATATCGTATCTCAAAAGGCTGTGTTTTTATAACCTTTTAAACCGAAAAGTGTGTATTTTACTTTTTTTAAGGCTTGTTTTGACCGACCGAAAAGTTCATAAGGGACCATCGGACTGTTTTGATACTTGACATGAAATTGTTCTTGGAATTCTTGTGTGGTTTTTTGATGCCCTCAAAAATGTGCTTAGCCAAATAGAAAGTTAATTTTTCGGACTCCAAAGTCACAAAACAAATTTAGGCATATTTTTTGTTTATCATATTTACAAATTTTGCTAGGGAGTACTATAAATAGCCTCAACTTGAAAATTTATATATAATATTAAAATACTTCCTATTCAAGTTATGGTGCTCGATTTGAGAACCAAATGTTCTAAAACATTGTCGTTTGATATGAAAATGGTGCGCGAGATGGTACTTCCTTTGAAGTAATTTGGGCTAGGCAGTTTCGTTGTTTGGCACCTTACTCTAGTCC